AAAGCCTTAAACAACCAAGGAAGCAAAGAATTCTGGCACAGCAGGCATTCTTCTGGCACTGGCATACAGCATGTGGGCCAAACATGGCCTGGATTTGGTAGAGGTGGCACCATCTTTAAGGTGGCACATAAGACTTGGACCAGATTTAACATGTAGTTTTTGACCCAGATATTAAAAATTGATATGTGGGCCACGTAAGTTTGGCCGGTCTTGACCCACATTTAAAATAAATTAAAATTATTTTTGAGTAAAGAAAAAAAAATCTACCAATTAGGTCGCTTTGAGAAAAAGCATGCCCATAATGTGTCTAAAGTGCAATGCTTCATGGATTTATCAATTTCATCTTGACACACCAACCTATCTGGCCCAGTTCAGGCCCAGTTATGAGTTGATAACTTGGCTGAGACTTGACCCAGATATGGTCCATGTTTGGCCCTTGTCTGGAACCCAGACTTGGTCCAGTCATTAACTGTAATTCACTGTGGCATGTGGGCCAAGCAAAATCTGATTGTGTGGGTCAGAGCTGGGCCAGAGTCATTTCGCTATGTGGGCTGTCATGGACATTCATGAGTAAATGTCTTTTTCACATTATTCAGAATATAACACACTTACAGACTATACTTACTATCAGGCTTACTAAAGTATGTTGGTGTTTCATAATATATCATTTTTACAAGGTGGGTTGCTAGCCTAAAGCTCAACCCCCAACCTAAAGGACACTTACAGAATATAACAGTAACAACAGATATATAGGACTGTTTAATACATTAAAAAGAAAATAATTGTTACTGTGATAATATTATTTACAATCTGTGCTATAAATTAATTTCATTTATAAGTCCAGGTATTTGTGTGTTGCATTCAAGGTTGTTTACCCGGATTTGTAAGCACTCTTACTATCTTTACACCTGCCTCCCCAGTAGGTGCTGTTATATTATTGGCTAGAATGACCTGAAGGGGAACCTATAAATCCAAAAATAAATACTAAAGCATACCTGTCAACCCTCCCGTTTTCCCCGGGATCCCTGTATTTTACAATTCTAGCCCGCTATCATCCCAGAAAGGTATTTCCCCATTTATTTAATATGTCCGTGAAGGGTGGCAATAAACACCTATACGCAAACCATTCCGCCGAACCAACAAGGGACGCCCCTGCTTTTATTTTATTTAGACATGAAAACACTTTGAAATAAATATATATAAACTGTGGGATTCCGCTACTATTCCATACTATTTGTTAATACACATGCACTAGTTTCAAGTGTTTATCTTACCCTAACCCTAAAGCTATTGGCATGTTTTACTATATAAGTTATTACATTTAATCATTAATGTTTTATTGTATATCAATTGATGATTCTTTTAACAATCCTTCTAGCATTTACAAAACAATTTGGGTGAGGGGGGGGGGGGGGATGCTTGCATTTTGAGTGTCGTTAGCTGTCATTCTTTTGACAATGTGTAACTAAAGTAGACATCCTGCATTATTAAAGTTAAGTTAATAGATCAATAATTTAAAGGTCGAGCAATCAATAGAATTTGTGAAAACTGACATTTCTCATGTTAGAAGATATTGTAACAGAAAAAAAAAAAAATCAAGACATGTCTCCTCAACAGAAAATGACACTGCATACAAAGGCATTCCATCACATGTTGATTGATTTTAGCTTAATGAATAAACCCACACAGCCGAAAAGCAGAGAATGATACTCGTTGCATCATTCGCAACGTCATTTGGGATCTCTGTGTTAGCTTTTAATCCAAAGCTACCGCCCAGTACTCAATATCCTTCAATATCCCTGCCGGAGTGCATCACCTCTCAAGCGCCTCTGAACACACCCTAATCGCTCGCTATAAAAAGAACAACTCTATAAGTCTTATATAATGGTGAACGACTCTGCCATCAATTTTACATGAGCTGCTGCAGGAGGATGGGAGAGATAGAAGGAGATGTGTGTGACTGTGAGAGAGAGAGAGAGAGAGAGATCAAAGCACAAAAATACTACAGGGAGTATGAATTCTACCTATAAATATTGCAGACTAAAAATAACTGTTCTATCTACTGTTTATTTAATTAGGTAAATGGAAATTTAGTTTCACAATAAGCTAAGAATGAAAAACCTTTCTGAGAAGACCTGAATCCAATCTACACAAAAGCAATCCAACTCTTAAAATCTTAACATTTTCAAAATTAATCTAAATACTAGTTCTGGATGACACCCATATAAAGATTTAGGTATAAAAACATGTTGCAGAGTAGATTCAACAAACTGTGTTGAACTGAATGTAGCTTTTAGAGCAAGTTCTACCAGGAATACCTAATGTCACATTACTCATCACAATCAGTGCCAACCAATAGCCATAAGACACAAGAAATATATATTTCATTTCATTTCATGCATTTGGTTGCAGATAATGACGCAGAAATTCACCCAGCATCCTCCCCACCACCACCACCACCAGGTTGGCCCTGTCCAGGGGGTAGGCTCCACCTCTGTCTTCATTCTCAGCAGTCATAGCTAGATCTAAAGACTTTCAATTCAATCTACAGACGGGGCCTCCGCCAAAGTAATCCTATGATTTATTAAACAATACTTTTGTCAAATAATACTCATAAAAAAAAAAGTTATCCAGCATCATATTTATCTTCCTGGTCTTTCTGGTAGAACTATGATTTTTTTGCTCTTAATGATTTGTTTTGCTATTTAGATTTCTAAAGATAATAAAATTCAGGCAGATACCAATAAACCAGCATTACTATCATTATATTATATTATATTATATTATATTATATTATATTATATTATATTATATTATATTATATTATATTATATTATATTATATTATATTATTACCAATTAGGATGAAACTGTTTTCATTCACTCACTGATTATACTTCGGCTTAATCGCTGATTAATCAGGGGTTGCCACAGCGGAATGAACCGCCAATTTTTCTGGCAAATGTTTTATGCAGCAGATGCCCTTCCACCCATAACCCAGCACTGGGAAACACACATACACTCTCTCATCTACACACACACTCATTCACTACGGCCAATTTTAGTTTACCAAATTAACCTATGGCGCATATCTTTGGACTGTGGGGAAAACTGGAGCACCCGGAGGAAATCCACGTGAACATGGGGAGGACATGCAAACACCACATAGAAATGCCAATAAACCCAGTCAGCTAATTGGGACTCAAACCAGCGACCTTCTTGCTGTGAGGCAACAGTGCTAACCACTGAGCCATTATTGACGATGCTGAAAAAGCCCATAGAGAGGTTTAGACAAGAAAACAAGTTTTTGGTTTCCAATACAAATGCACCTTTAAAAAACTGGGGAAGATGCCAATCATCCATAAATTATGATCATGTATTGGCCACAGATAAATGGCTGATGCGAATTGACTAAGGCCAATTTCGAGATCAACATTATGTGCAGCGTGAATTCACTGAAAAAAATAACAGCATTTAAATATACTATAATCATCTACAAATGACAAATTAGCCAACACAGTTATTCATTAGGCGCTAATATATTGAAAGCCCAAGCTCATTCTGAAAACGTCCTACTCTATTCATATCTTGAGAGCGCCAAACACATCGCAGCAGAGGCTGCTGTGTATGCTTTTCCAGATCTCAAATTTCTCTCAAAGGTGCCCTTTGCACCTGTTGTTCTCACTTAAATTTACCAGAGGCCGCTGTTGACAGACTGACTGACTGACAGATTGACTGACTGACCCACCCTCCTCTTTCCCTAAACCCAACCAATAGTGTTTTTAAAAGCACAGACTAACCATGCTATTTACTTGTTTATTTTATTTTTTGGCCTCTGTTTTTGTCTTACCCGCTGTCTGGAACAGTTCTTATCTTTATTTGAACCCTGTCATCATGGTCAACTCCTCTTGGCGTTTTAAGTCTGCCGACATACATGGCAAGCTAACTGAACAAACTTTTAACAGCAGGAAAGCCATCTATACGGAGGTGCGGTCAGCCGGTAAGCGAAAAGAGTAACTGCATCATACCACCCCATCTAAAAGATGAGATGTAGCCATACATACCTCTGGATACATAATTTGTGATCTTTAGAATGTATATAGCGCTACATTTTCAGAAAGAGCTTATGTTGCATATTGACCATCCCTGCTTTTTCATATTTATCTAGAACACTTCAAATTATAAAGTTCATAAAATACATTAAACAGATAGGGCTGTACGAAAATAATAAAAATTTTCTTACCTGGATGATGTCCAGTGTTATTCAGTGATGAACATAGTGATGAACATGAAAGTAAAAAGAAGACAAAAATGGAAACCATTAACACATACTTTCAACTTTGGTTTTCTGCTAAAAAATGAAAGTTCATCGGTATTAGAGCTAAATGTAAAGTTAACAGTTTCAAAGTCTATGTGTAGCAGGTGAATTGGCAGACAGACCTCCTAATCTCATAAACATTAGATTGACAGTGTTGAACAAGACAGACTAAAGCAGAACAGTCATAGAGCATAAGATGGCAAGGAGTGACATACAGAAAGCTGTTCACCCACAGAATGATTAGCAAATGTAAAAATCCACAAAGACAGTTGGCTAGTTGACAAACACCTACAAGACATGTGCATTTTTGAGGGATGCTGTGATCAAGAGAAATTGTATTGAAATCCAGGGGATGGTAAACCAAAAAATTAACAGTTAGTCGATTGCTGGTTGCGATGCACAGCGATCAGTGTGTTATGACTGCATTGAAATGTTAAACATCTTTATTATAAGAATGAATTACATGCAGCAAAAGTCCAAGCTATAGAGGACTGACACAAAGAAAGAAAGAAAGAAAGAAAGAAAGAAAGAAAGAAAGAAAGAAAGAAAGAAAGAAAAACATGGAGTACTTAGTATCTCGCTATAGTATTTTCTGCTACAGAGATAGCTAAGCAGAGGAGGGCCCACTTCATCGAGCCATGCATTATGTAAATGATCTCCATATAGTCTTCATTTTCACCAACCTTCCAGTAGGGGGGGCTGTGCCAGCGGAGACTCCTGCTTCTCTGTGTGTGATGGGACGAAGGGGGTGGCCTCAGGGTTTAAGCTTGCTGCAGTGCTGGGGGAAGAGTGACTAAAAGCTGGTGCACTCTGAGGGGCAGGGACATCTGTGCCAATGGACAGTGGGCTGGGGGTCAGACTAGAAGTGGTCGGTGGGTAAGTGGGGTGAGGGATGGGGGTTTTCACAGGGGTACTCTGGGATGGGGGGCTTGCATCTGGGGTTTGAGCCTGGAGCACAGAGTCAAGGAACATTACGGACTGAGTTGGACTGAGGGTTGACTTCTGGTTGGGATCAGATAGGTAAGCAGAGTTTAACGGTAACTGATCAGAAGGGTGAATACCAGGCAACCCTAGGTTAGGCTTACTCATATCATCTTTAGGTGAATTATCTTTATCCAACATAGCCTTGTTAATCTTGAGAGATGAATCATCTATAGGATTCGGAGTAGAGTCAAGGTAAAACGGGGAGTTGTTTGCCTGCCCGGTTGGTTGGGGTCTACATGCTTGGGTGTTCGTGAGGTGCAGAGGGTCAGGTGTGAGTGAGGGTGGTGCACTTTCCTGATCTATGCTAGCACTGGATTGGGGCTTTGACACAGCCAAATTAGGGTCACTAAAGTCCATGCCCATTACAGTTGGAGGAGCACTCCACTCCTCTGGAAGCTTCTTCCTGCTCTTACTCTTCTTGGCCTTGATGCGTCCTCCCCCTCTCTCTAGGAACTCACTTTCCCAAATCTCCTCATCTTTACAGGGAGGAGAGGGGCAGCCATGGTTTGAGCTTTCCGAAGGAGTCTCTTCAGAGTCAGGGGAACCAAGACTGTCTAGAAGATCATACATTTCTTCCCTGTTCTTGCGTTTCTTCTTTTTTCGTTTCTGCTGCTTCCCGCTTTCTTCCTCAATGGACTTCTCCTCTCCGGATGCTGCATCTTGACTCTGGGAGCCCAAGGCATCAGTGTGACTCTGTTCTGCCTTTCTGGATGCATGGGACTGCTCCGTAGAGAGCATTTCCTCACCTCTCCAAGGGCTTCCCCAAACTTCTTTGTGTACAGAGAGGAAGAGGAAGTGTCACTGACTACCATACAAATCATTGGACAAAAAAGCTTGACTATCTTAAACTCATTACAACTAATAAGCGTCCAAAAGCACATTAAATCAACTACTTATCAATCACTGATCACTTGCATCACACATATGATGCATTACACCAGGAGATGATATGAAATTAGACAAAATTCACAATGAATAGAGTCATTGAGAGTATAGTCCTAAACTTAGAAGAGATTTTGAATTAGACATGGGTTCCCTTTGGAAAGTTTCCAGTAGGATATTTACATTATAACATTTACTTGAGGAGACCTTGATATTTTGTTCTTGAGCTGAATATCATGCTCCTCTTCATATAGAAACTGCTGATTATCATGTGAAACATGAAGTGTTAGGGTGAGAAATCTTGGACCTGAAGAGTCACAGTCCTTTAGAGTTGTGATTTTGACTTACAAACGAACTCGCCTATAACGTTCTAGTAAGCCTGGGACCTTTATTAGCTTTTCCAGGTTTGTTTGATTATGTTTGGACTTCAACTCTGCAAGACTGTGGATCGACAGGACAGCACTTGCCTACCCCTGCACTTGTATTTAGAGAATTATGGCAACATTCTTTGAATTAGGAAACATTTTCAGTCCTCGTCTGCTTTTATTTTTAAAATACAAAAAATTGCAAAAACAAATGATGTGATTTTCATCATAACTTGCCAGGTTGTAGAAACTTGTGAAGAACCATGGCTTCTGTATGATCATCAGTCAAACTGTAAAGTTTGCAAGGGCTTATGACCTCCTGAGCACTTGCACTCTGTAGAGCTCTTGCTCGATGCTAGTAAAAGTTACAATGACAACAAACATGCTTACATATGCTTGACAAATTATTATCAGTTTAAGATTTATAACCTAGCTTTAAAATTTAGGTTTGAGGTATGATTGCTTGTATTTTAAGCAACCCGCAGGCTCATTCTGAATACATACCGCTGTATACATTTCTGGAGACTATCAAATACGTACCAGGAGCTACGTTTTTTTTTGCAGTTTTTGTTTTCACAAATCCACCTGAGATTGCTGTGTAGGCTTTTTTTAGATCTCAAATTTCTCTCGCGAGTGCCATTCGTGCCTGCTGTTCTCTCGTAAATCCACCAGAGGTCGCTGTCGACTAACTGTTTAACTGACTGAATGACTGACTGCCTGATGGATCAATTGACCCACCCTCCCCTTTCCGTAAACCCAACCAAAAGTATTTGATAAAAACACATATTTACCCGCCCACCCTCTTCCCTAAACCCAACCGACAAATTTAAAAAGCAACACAAAAAAGAAAAACCCTTGTTTGATTTTTACCACGTTTTACCACATTTTCACTCTGTTATTTACTTGTTTATTTTATTTTTTGGCTTCTGTCTTACCCACTTTCTGGAACCTTCCTAACCAGACTCGAATCTTGTTGTCTTGGTCATCTCTCGGCATCTCAAGTCCGCCGACGTACATGGTGAGCTAACTGGACAAACTGGTAAGAGCCGGAAAGGTACGCAGTCAGCTGTTAAGCTCGAAAATGAACGGCGTTTTACCGCCCTATAGCATACATTTTAAAAAATTGAATGCAACCATACATACCTCTGGCTACATAATTCATGATCTCAAGAAATGTATATAGGGCTATGATTTCAGAATGAGCCTATGTTGATTTTAAGTAGTAGATTAAAGAAAACCCAGTGGAAATTACCCATTGGTGAATTTTCCAAAAATGGCTAAAGTCTCATATATCTGTATGTTACATCTTGATATAGCCATATCCCACTTGTTCCCTAAAAATGTACGTATTGTAAGATAACAATATGGGGGTGTAGTATTTAAACTTGCTGAAAAAAGCAGTTAAATGTGTGTGATAGGTTCAACAGTGGCTGAGAGAGAATGTGCTGAGACTATGATGTGCTCACTTGAGAGCACATCAAGTTAAAGTGCAAATGGGCAAATGAACTCATGGAGAAATAACAGGCAGGGATAACAACAGAGGCAAGTCACAGAGAGACTGACTCAAAAGAAAAGCAACAAAGAAGAGTCACATGACATGGAATACCGGTACAAATCTCAGCACTGAGGACAAATACAGTAAATGTCACTGAAATGATCCACAATCAACAACAAGACAGACACTGAGCACAAGATGGTTGACGGCATCAAAATATATCACATTTAAGGAAAAACAAAAAGTACTGCTAAGTATATTTGGGCTGTCATGGCAATGTTAAGTAAATTCATTTCTAGACCCAAACAAGGTACATTTTTTCTGCTCCTACTTATTCAGTTCTTTATTGATCAAATGGTTATAACCAGTCACTTGGACGAAGTGCCAGTAGAAGCAACATTTATATTTCAGATATGAGATCTAAAATGTGAAATGCCTTTCTAAACTGGCTCTGGGCCAGAAGACACATTTCTTTTCCATTTTCTTGGCCATCATGCTCATAAAGAAGCCTTAAGATAAATGTTTAAAATGCCTTAATGCACACTTGAAGATTAACTTGGCCAGTCTAACATGTTAAAACGAACAACTGCGTATGATGACTTATTGCTTAAAAATAACAAATGCTTTTTTCCAGGTTTATGTTAAGCATCACATGACGTTTAATACCACAGTTGGTATCTTCTCATCTGAGGTAACTTGAAGACCGTGATAGATGTAAAGCAATTATGTTATGAAAAACTATTGATGAGGCATCCATGCCCTGACCAGACAGAGTGGAATGACATGATAGACGTTCTATGGTATAATAAACAATCAGCATCTTAATGTGTGTTTAAAGTCTGTCTTACCTTTTCTAGACTGCAGTGAGATGCCTTAAGTGGTGATAGACTTTACCTGCAGAGTTTTCCTGGCTGATACGAGGACTCGTTTCACTCGGATTAGCGGTTATCTGCGATGGTTTGAGTGGTTCATTGGCAAACAAGGGTGAGGTCTTCTGAGGTTCACCCATGCTGGGGGGTTTGGAACTCTGGAAAGGGGCCATGCCCACATTCATATTCATACCAATGTTCATTCCAGGCTGAGAGAACCCTGAAGGAAAGAGCAGCAGAGCGATACTGCATTAAAACTTTACGAAGCCCGAGGAAGTGAACTGATTCGAACCCGCCCATGATCTGAAGTCAATAATCTCATAGCAGCGGTTACCCAGAAAAGAGTCCATGCTGTTATCCTTCTGCTGATTTCCCAATTGGACTGGCATTCCAATCATTGAAGCTGGGCCTGAAAATAAAGAAAAGTAGAGTAATGTCAGGAATATGAATGGATGATTGATGGAATGTTTCAGTTAATATGCAATGATCCCACCTGACTGAAAGTCATTCTTATAGACGTACTGCCCAGGCGGGCTAGGACGAATCTCGCCCTGAGGGTCATGACGTAGACCTCCAGGGCTTGCAGACATGAACCCAGACCCTGAGAACAGAGAAAATACACATACTGATTATTTGTGTGTGTAACAACATAAATCTATATCAGACCTTAGAAATAAAGAACAAGGGATAAGGGTGGAAAATGCTGCAAGCTTTACAAACATCTAGATCTCCATCCAATCAATATAATAAATAATAAAATTCATGTAAAACTATTACAATTTACACTCACTGGCCACAATATTAGGTACCCCTTACTAGTACCGGGTTGGACCCACTTTTGCCTTCAGAACTGCCTTAATCCTTTGTTAAATAGATTCAACAAGGTACTGGAAATATTCCTCAGATAATTTTCTGTTCATACAGTATAGACATGATAGCATCATGATGAATTGTGGGCTGCACATCGATGATTCGAATCTCCCGTTCCACCACATATCAAAGGTGCTCTATTGGATTGAAATCTGGTGACTGTGCAGGCTATTTGACTACAGTGAACTCATTGTCAAGAAACTAGTCTGAGATTATTTGCACTTTATGACACTGCACATTATCCAGCTGGAAGTAGCCACTTCCATGGTCATGAACATGGTCAGCAACAATACTCAAGTAGGCTGTTGCCTTTCTATCAGTTTGAACCAGTCTGGCCATTCTCCCCAGACCACTGGCATCAACAAGGCATTTGCGCCCACAGAACCGCTGCTCACTTGATATTTCATCTTTTTCTCTGTAAACCCTAGAGATGGTTGTGCGTGAAAATCCCAGTAGATCAGCAGTTTCTGAAATACTCAGACCAGCCCATCCGGCACCAACAATCATGCCACATTCAAAGTCAATTAAATCACTTTTCTTCCATTGCTCAGTTTGAACTGCAGCAGATCGTCTTATCCATGTCTACATGCCTAAATGCACTGAGTTGCTGCCATGTGATTGGTATCTTAGAAATTTGCGTTACCAGCAGTTGGTCAGGTGTACCTAATAAAGTGGCCGGTGAGTGTATGTAAAAACATTACTAAAAACATTGGAAATGTGTGATAGATTTAAAGTATGGTGGTATGTTTCTTCTAAAAATGAACATTGGCTGTAAATTTATTTACCCACAAGTCATCCAAAACATCACTTTTTTAAAGTACAGCTGAAGTTTGGTGATTTATAAAATGTATCTTTATGAGCAAGAAAAAAAACAACATATGCAAACAAAACAAAATCATTACACATAATGATCATTTTTCACGTATGAAAAATAGTCAGTCTGTGCAAAAAAAAAACCTAAAACTAAACCTTATTTATATAATTGTTACCTTTAATCCAAAGCTTCATTTCTATTTTCATTGGAGAGGGAGGACATTTGTGTTGTATTGTTCATAAAAGGGACCATTTGCTATGTTGCAGATCAAAGGTAATAATGTTGTAAATAATGTTCAGTTCAGCAAAACTGATTGTTTCACTTCTTAAGACATAATCAGGAGCCACTGTTAGACCTATGTACTGTATGTTTTGTTATATAAAAGAATCCATTTATGTATCACTAATAGTTATAGCTTGGGCTAAAATCACCTTAATTGTTTTACTGAAAAAAGGTCATCTACATCTTGGATCGTCTGAAGAAGCAGCAAAGAAATCCTCTTTAGTTTTGTTTTTGTTTTTGAGTAAAAAAAAATTATAATAATTATTATTAGTCACCACCACCAATAATTTCTATTAGTAATAGTTCCATAAACAACTTTTCGCCAAAATCCAATAGCGTGTTTAGTTTAAATATGTCCCCGGTCAAAGGCACTGGGGAGGGGCATCCCTGAAAATAAGCCTGTCCCCATCCATTCTAATATGTCGATGTTATGAGAAGGGCAAATGTGGATGAGTGATGCTGAAATGATGGGACAGGCTGGGACTGCAGGCCTGTTTACCGTAGTTACACAACCAGCTGAGGCTGCTCTACGTTCCCTAGGCAAAGCACTCTGTCAGCATCAAGACTGACTGACACGAGGAGCCAGCACTGAACCAGCATAAGCAAAGATACCAGCCCTGGATTAATGATTGCGCTCCCACAGGGTTGGGCTGCACCAGCACCATGCAATTATCCTCTTTGTGGACCGGTGTCCATGTCACTGTGAGTCATGCTGTGTCTGCTATATTGGCAAGGATGCAACGGGATTCTGTCCACCTGGCCTTTCTGTTGCATGTTGATGAGGTAAAAAGGGCTCGACCCCAATAAGTCTTTAAGGTGATCCGTGCGTTTAGGATTTAGGCAGCATCCTTTCAACTGTTCATATATTAAAAATGCTAATGTCGAGTTAAACAAAATCCAAGCAGGGCAAGAGCCTTGCAAAGAAAAGCATATGAACCTGAAAACAAGCTACAGTTAAAAGCACCCAAAATGTGGAAGAGGAACTAAAAATAGCGTCTCAGACATGAGGCACTTGAGGTGCATAGACTGCCAAGTCATGCTGTGGTACAGAGCCTCATTTTTGCAGTTAAAGGGGGGGAGCAGCAGACATCCCTTTCAGCACAGAATCAGTTACATAACGTCATAAACCAGTGCTGTACTGTTAGTACCAGCCCAGACAAAGAACCAGAGATCTCTATAACACACAATATGGATACAAAAGCAGCATGACAATGTTACAGCACAATTCTGAAGCATTATCATTATATTGCCTATTTGTTTTGTCAAAATGCATCCAACATAAGATACTTTTGCAGAAATACTGTTAAAACGAATGGTCACACTTTACAATTAGTTAATGTTGGTAAATGTATACTAATATTAAATATAAATGAACAATACTTCTTCAGCATCTATTATAACATTTACTTAGTATTATCAACATCCAAAATTGCGCTAGTTGTTAACATTAGTTTCAAGGATAGTTCACCCAAAACTGGAAATTATGTCATCATTTATTTACCTTTCACTTGTTCAAAACCTGTTTGTTTTTTTCTTTCTTTTATAAGTAGATACTTTGAAGAAAGCTGTAAACAGCCATTGGCTTCGAAAGTATTTGTTTTTCCTACTTGGGCTACAGGTTTTCAGCTTTCTTCAAAATACCTTCTTTAATGTATAACAGAAGTAAGTACCTCATGAAGGTTTGGATCTAATTCAATGTGAGTAAATACACTGTAAATAATGATTGTGCCAATTAGTTATGACAACTGAATATTTTGAGTTAAGTTAGCTTATCTGGATTGAATGCGTTGACATAACTTATATATTAAAGTTTTACTTGGCTGAACTTATTATAATTTAAAAAGTCAGCTTAACTGATATATATATATATATATATATATATATATATATATATATATATATATATATATATATATATATAAGTTAACTTTAAATAATGCAAATATGTGCAAATGCAAACAAATACATTTTTAATTAAATAAATCATCTTTAAAATTGTATTTGCATGTCTTTGACTGCATTATAATTTAATTGTGCTGGTAAAAAAAGACTTTGGAGGGGTTTGGGATCAGTTTGGATGTTTTGAACATGCATTTCATGTTAAAGATAGCAGAAACCAAGTGTGTGTACCTACTCGCTTTTAGTTTTTAGGTGTCTTTTTTTTTACGTTTGGGAGGTTTTGGACAGTTCAAGCATTCAAGTGTATCTGGCAACACTAATAGCCATTTTCTCATAGTAATGTGGTGTGTGTTTGTCTGAGGTTCTTCTCAGATGACTGCTTCTTTGTATTTGCAGACTTTAAAAACCTATTAACTAACAACAAATGACTTTATTTTCATTAAGTGTGGTTTATTCATAAACTAATTTCGAGAGGATTACGTGCTTATAATCAACACGGCTGGCTCCTTGTTAGCTCCGTAATCAGCCCTATTAAATGATTACAGAAGCATTATAAATAACCTGAGTTTTCCACTCCAGTTATCTTCGTCTTGAAGCTCCCCCCCTTCCACCCCTACATCCTCCCACTTTTTCTGATCGGGCGACACGGTGGCCCAGTGGCTAGCACTGTTGCCTCACAGCAAGAACACCGCTAGTCCAACCCATCGGGCTGGTTGGTGTTTCTGTGTGGAGTTTGCATGTTCTCCCCGTGTTCGCGTGGGTTTTCCCCGGGTTCCCCGGTTTCCTCCCACCGTCCAAAAACATAAACCATAGCAATCGACTAAAACAAATTATCACCCAATACAACCTGAGTTTACACTTCTCACGGTGACAAGCAGGGGAGTTCTCGAGACCTACCTGACCTCGAATTCCCCTCTCGCCCTTCTAACGGGAGGGAGCCCCGGGCTCGAGGATATTACGAGCTCAGGGCTCTCTCCCGGGACAGCATGCCAAATACGCTTTATTGATTATCAGCTAAGTGTGAACTCTTGAAATGATGGTAACAACGATGAATAGATATTGTAAATGTATTGTTCATTGCTTGTTCATGTTAGTAAATTCATCCCCTAATAATAGCTAATGGAACCTTATTCTAAAGGGTAAACTAATCAATTATCAACAAAACAAGACATTTTAAACATTTGTATTCCATATGGACAAAAGTGCAAGCCGAGTTACATCATCTGTTCTCCGCGAACTTACACATGATCATTATGGGATGTGCAGAGAGAAAGAGCATCAAAAACAAGGTGTTCATACTTTGCTGTGTTGTACCAATATCCAGGGTGCAAATTACAGGGGGTCAGACCCCTCTAATTAAAGCCTAATCCCGCCCTGAAGGACGTCTACACAAGATGTATGGGGGTCTACCCTTTAATAGTTAAGATTTACTGGGAGATTATGCAAACTCCACACAGAAATGCCAACTGGCCTAGCCGGGACTCGAACCAGCAACCTTCCTGCTGTGAGGCAATTGTGCTACCCACTGCGCCGTGACACCCAGTTTGCTCTGATCTGTATCTTAAATAACATTAATAATTAAAATAATAGATAAGTTAAATATACATTTGACCACCCCTGTAATGGTCCAAACCATTTTGAATGCCTGTTTGCGCCAAAAAACGGCAAATCTAGTGCACCAACAGACATTGTAAGCGTTCACAAAACATGTTTCTTGTTACATAGGAATTTGTACT